AAGATAGTGTATGTGACAAATGTGACATAGCGCGTTCAATATAAGCTATATTGACTTTTACATTTATTTATTTGACTTGGCTAATTTACTGAGAACTAACTAACAATACACAAAACCCAATACAATGCTAGAATACAATGAGATAACAGTAGAAAATAAAAAGTCTATTACACAACAGGAACAGGAGGTGAACCTGGTGCAAAGAGATCAAAATTCGGAGGTGGCGGGGGTGGAAGTCCAACTAGTTCACACGCTTGCGATACTCGTGATTGTAATTCCAAATACCGTGCCCGTTGAGCTGTGAGGAAGGGGAAAATAAACTTAGTGAAACAAGGGATGCATTCAGTATCAAATGGAACATACTGGGACAAGGCCATAAACATGAAAGATAATCAATCGGTGCGAAAAAGGCTTCACAAATTTCTAGAGCAATAATTAGGCTTTTGTCGAGCTGCCATAACAACAAGCATCTGGATAAAATAGTTAAACGAGCGTAAATGCGGAACTTTGGGTAAGTACATACCTAGCGACTTGACCCATGAACCACCAAATAAAAAAGGGTCTTTGAGCTAATACATTATTTTTATGACCAGTGACGGTATGTAATCCTTGCATAACACGTTTGGCAATGCTAGCCTGCTTGACAACTGCAGGAGAAAACATTATTGGGTGGGTTCCGGATCTAAATAACAAACTCACGCCACTCTTCCGCCTTTTTACGATTAAACAAACCGTTGAAATCCCTAAAGAGAACGTTTGAGATACATATTTTTATCTAAAATAAAAGTGGAAAAAAACACTGACGTTTCAGGATGTGGAATAAACCTCCGAAATTCATATGAGATGCACATCCGTGTGCTAAAAAAAATACTTGTAAATTTTCCACACCGCCAGCAGAATCTCCAAAGGGAACTTACATAAACAAAAACTCCCGTCCTTGAAAGAGGAAAGCTTGGTCACAACCACAAGTATGCGCATTTAGAGCTTCTTCGATGATCGTCGTCTCGATCCAAGCACTGACAGCGAAAGTTGCTTTCTCAGCGTCACTTGCTTGATTTTCACGCATACGGAGACAGCTATTCCATAATAACATTGTACGACAGTACAAAGCCCAGATTGATTCCTTGGGTGAGTGCGATATTGTAAACGACGAGGACTTTAGCAGTGATTCACCAGGAAATAACAATGAATACTGTCAAAGAAACTTAAAAAGAAGAAACTCAGAAAATAAAACAAGGACAAACCTACATTAGATGGTTGAATACAATAATAATCCAAAGGTGGGGCACGAAAGGCGGCCGCGTGAGCAGTATGTCCCGCGGCAATTTGCAAGGAGCTCCAACATAACCTCCGACTTTCTTCTTTCCTAATCTCAGCAACAGTCCAATCCGGATTCCATGCAGCTGTTGCTACCCACAGAGGCGTGAGCTGGTGACTGATAGGGGAGTTTTGACCCAGCGTGAGCGAAGCACAACAGCAGCCCTGTTTACTTGCTATCCGTGATGAAACAGCTACATGAACAATTGGGACGTTTTGAGCAACAAATTTCGATACTTGCAAATCGTCCTCGTCGATCGATGCAAGTCGTAAGAACCGAAGAATAGAGTCCAATATGACCATTGCCGAATTCACTCGCTCAGCGGAATGAAGGGGATGTGCACACATCTCGAACAGGGCCAACAGCTATATAAGTCATTATGAGTTTATGGCATAAGCTGTAAAATTTACGCACCCAAGCAGCTTGGGCCAACGTCGGATCCACCCATTGGGCATTGAAACTAGCTTCCAAAGAACTTTGTGCAGCATCACGTAACCAGAGGGCACGCATCCGACCGGCACTGCCTTGGTCGATTTCACTTGAAGTCATAAACGCTGAAACAGCGAGGATCGCTAATACCAATGATGGTTGCATTTTATCACGTTCCGAAGGATTGCAAAAATTACTGAAGAACAGCTTAAGGGAAAAATTAGACCTGCGGAAAATTTAATCTGCAGCATATATCACATACCGGCACATTAATGAAACTGAAAAAATAATTACTGGCTTTGAATCTGGGATATATTGGATTGAGAGATCCGAGAGAAAATAAACCGAAAAATACATACAAAAATCGCAAATCAGCAAGTATTTGACGTGAACTGTAAAAAGGTATGGTTTTTTTTTTCCTACTCCAAGTACTGTCGATAACTCACGTTATAGCTTTGTCCTCTCCGGGAAGGTAAAGAACGATTAAGCTATCCCACCAAGCTTTTCGCGAATAGTCCAACGAAGGTTCTGGTCCGATTTCCTCTTCCCATTTGTTTTCATCCTCGCCAGAATGTCCTCTGGCGGGATAATCACCGAACAAAGTCTGATTGTGGCCGTAATATGGGAATTTATGAGCTTCGCCTTGAGAATTTAGGCCTCGAATTATCTCATAATTTTCCTTGAGCGTAATCAAAAGATTAACCTCATCGGCTACCTAAAATAGAGGATGATGCATCAACTTACTGATTCAGGCAATAAGCGGGAGAAGCGATTCGAGGCATCGACCCTTTCAGGACGGTAAGGTATATTTGATGCTGTCGTCGCGTTGGATACCGGAGGTAAAGATGAGGTGATCTCGGGACCATCTATCGGCGTGATGGGAAGTGGTTGTTCAGTAGAACTTGACATCGAGCCTCGACGCTCATTCAATTCGGGAAAGTTTGGGTGGGGGAGAGGTGTGAAAATATGAGAAGCTGGGTTAAGGTGCTGAGAAGTTAAACTCGAATCTTCGTGACAAGGTTTGATCGAGGATGAGTATAAGGGTATAATATTCCTTTCATCGGATGGTACTGCTGCGGCGACTTGAGATCCATTTTGGGCCTCCTGTTTGGAGGCTTTCGTTTTTTTACTCGTCCTTTGTCTGGCACCAGGTTTTTTGTCTGGGCCACGTCTTTTTGGAACAGCATCATAATCACATTCACTAGCTCTTCGACAGCACTTTTGACATTGGGGTTTGGCACCATCACAGCGGATTTTCCTAGACCGACTAAGAAAGATATGATACATTTTTTAACCAATAACAAGATAAATAAATAAGGATCAACTGACCATTGCAAGCATGCAACGTAAACCCTTGTGCGCAATTTCCCTTGGGCGGTTGGGGGTTGATCCTCGGCTAAACCGTTTGGACCCAACTTTACAGGTAGATTTCCTTCGTCACTCTTTTTTGCAAGTGGAGGAGGGTCTAGAGAGCTGACGTAAGGTTCGATAAAGCGGGGGTCTTTCCGGTGGTGTTGACTAGCGGAGATTAGTAAAGAGCGCGAAGATTGAATTGGTTGCTCCGAGGGATGCACAAGAGACAATGGTGCAGGGTCACAAGTTTTGTCCGATGTTAACGGAAGCGAGTCGGCTGCCCAATCGAGGTGGTCTCGAGCGGATCCTGCTAAGGAAGAATAATGGGGGAAATTAAGAGAGGTGGCCAGGGAAGGGGTTGTGAGAGGAATAAAAGTTGATGAGGGATCCGAAGGGTACGAGTGAGCGGGAAGTGGCTCAACTGGTACTGGTGAGGGACCATGATGGGAATTAGAGGAAGAGGAAGAATGATGTGAAGAGCTGGTGTTGGGTAGATAGTCAAAACCATAGGGAGCTGGGATGGCCAAATGAATCTTAAAGTCGTTAAAGGAAGTAGTAAATTTAAAAACTCTTACTCGGATGTATCATTTGAGAAGGGTTTTTTGAATCATGACGATCTTGATCAACACGGAAGTCCAAGTCGGAATTGGTGTGATTTGGTTGTACATCTGCGGGGTGAGTGGTATTGCTGCCCAGGTTTGTGGAATGATCAAGGAAAGCTTGTTGTTTTGTGGGCTGGTGATTTGAATTACCTTGGTGCCTTGTGATCGACAACATAGAAAAGATGATAAAAAAAAGAAGATAAACAGTGAATGGAAAAAAAGAAAGGAAAAAAAATAGAAGAAATGTTAGTGTGTACTAAAACTTGAGTATTCGAAGTTGGTGTCTTCTTTCCAACTCTTCAAAATTATTAACTATTGTACATTCGGCGCCTTCCGATTCAGCTTTTTCTCACGTCACTTTTCGGACCCATCGGACACCAAAAAGTACATTATCCACAGCTATTTGTTACATGATTTCAATTATTAGCATTTCCATTTCTTTATAACGTGTCTTGGCATGGAAATCATTTCAGAAAACTCGGAAATAATTGCACTGTTAGAAGTCAGTCGAATGACACTAGCAGCTAGCTCAGACTAGGACGGATCATTTTTTTTTCTTCTCAGTTCAAGCGAAAATATTATACTACTATTTCTCTTGATAGTGCTACTTCTCGTTAGTCGCCAATTTCACGGCTCGGTTATTTAAAACGACCGATTACCGGTCATAAGAGATATAAGGTAGAAGAACCTTTACCGTTGACGTTGACTTCAACAGTCGACATTTGGGAAAGAGATTTTTTGATTTTAACCTTCTATAGCGCTATAAACACGAATATCCGGCAAAAAGAAATGGTTATCACGTAGCATTCTGGCGGGTTCTACTACTACTTGTCCCCGGTTACTTGCGTCTCGTTAAATAGACTATTTGGGTTTTTGAAATCAATTACAAAATTTCTTGTCAAATAGAAGCTGGTGACAACTCGTAGAATAAGGCACTCCCTAATAGTCAACCCCGGTCACCGCCTAGCTATTATGATGCACTCACTGCTAATAACTGGATTCCAGTTGCTCGAGATATCACTTTCCAATTTCCCACAGTTAGCATCTCTCAACCAAAAGTCTGTTTCTTTTCTTCTTTGAACCTTGCCAAAGGAAAAAACTTGCTAGTTGGAATCGTATGTAAAGTTGGCACTTGGCTGAGTCATTGTCTGTACCATGACAAGTATATTTCTATAAACTTGTTTGTTATAAAATCTCGAATAAGATACGGTCTTGCTAAAAGTCAAGTTCCGATGTGTAGTACATCGTTGGATAAGATGCTACGCTGATGTAGTTGAGTAAAGGGCTAAAGTTATCGCTGCCCCATGGCTTAGTTGGCTATAGCGTCCGACTGTTAATCGGAAGGTCGAGAGTTCGAGCCTCTCTGGGGCAGTTTGTTTTCATACTCTTTTTCTTCGGTTGTGTGTGCATCCAGCTCATCATCCTTTGTTACATCACAGTAACCTGAAGATGTTTTGGCGACCCTAGAACTTGGGGAGCATATTCGAATTAAATGTACCTTTTGTATTCCCCCTCATGACGCCCAGTAATGAATATGAAAATTATGTCGGAGTCTCAAAAGTCAAAGCTTTATTGGCTGCATGACGTCGACGTCGACATCGTCCAGAGCGACGTCGATGCCACACACGCCTCCTATATCTCGACGGAATACTCGAGAACGTTTACTTTCATTTCGATCCCCGTCCGCGCCGCCGCTTCCAGCCAAAGTATCGCAGTCGCATATCATGTCACAGGGTTCATCTACGCCACTTCCTTCTCGAGTCTATAATCCCTCTACAATGTCAACTACCGTTCCAAGTCCCACTTCTTCCGTGATTAACCTTAACTTAAATGATGGTCTCATAATTCATGACGCGGAAGCAGACAATCAGGATGTGGCTGAGGATGAAGAACAGGTCGGAGGAATATTTACCGGTTCTTCTGAAGATAGTGAGCAAAGAAAGAAGATTTTACGTGAACAGTTGAGGAAGACTTTAAGTAGCAAAGATTTAAGTACGCTGAACTGGTTATTTGATAAATTTATATCATTCCAATAGCAGGATTTCGCCAGACTCAGACCCTTCTCAACAATCACGAACGCGTATTCCCGAACCATCCACCGTGGATGAAGCCATTAAGATATTAGGTATGTAAAAACTTGCTGGAAAAATATTGTCATGAACCACACCGAAAAAAATGATCCTTAAAACTGAAAATGGATTGTTTCAGAACAACAATTCCCACAACGGCAATATTTTATTCTTACAGATGCTGGGAAACCTGTCTTTGTAAGGTCAATCGCTACCAACACTGTTTCGAAATTGGTCTTATTTGTCATTATCGTTAGTCGACCGGGTAATGCTGTGGAAGACGTCGTTGCTATTACCGGCATCACATCAGCCCTGATATCGGTATTTGCAGACGAGTCGTTATCAGCTAATACTCCTAAGCAAGACAGGCTTCGATCTATTCAATCTGGATCCACTCGCATAACATTTTTTTTGAAATCTCCCTTGTATTACATAGTAATCAGCAAATGGGGAGAACCTGAGAGTGTGGTTTGTTGTCTTCGTTTGTCAAAACGTCCTCTCCATGATTTATTGAATGGTCGATACAGGCGCGGTTGCATCTGGAATTTCTCCATCTACAAATTTTAAGTATACTAACTGGTTCACAACTTCGTCGGATATTTGAGAGGCGGTCTAATTTCGATTTAAGACGGCTTCTTGATGGTTAAGCTTCCCACTCAATTCCAATCTATCATTCAAATGAACTTATAATTTTCAAAAAGGGACCGAATCATTCTTACATGCCATGATTTCGCGTCTGCAAAGTAGCATTGCATTCCAAATCACCTTATCTGCGTTGTCGGTAGTGCGAATGGAACCAATGTTTAGATCACGTATCGGAGATTACCTAGTCCCATCGAAAACCGGAAGCCTGGTGGGCAGTATAAACAAAGGATAAAATCCTAGGCTAATCTACACCTACTTTTAGGATATACTTTACATCCTTTTAATATCGGAGAATAATCTTATTACAATTGTTCGACCTAAACGGCATAGCATTCATCCTTCAGGTAAACTTTATTTTTATTTTTGGGGTCTGGCAGTTAAAGATTTTTATTTTCAAAGATCTCCAAATTCTTATTAATGCGGTCCATACTTCCTCGGTAGCGGCGAATTCAGCGTCCTGGTTACCTATCTGTCTTCCAAAATTTAATCCTCAAGGATTTGTCCACGCATACGTAAATTTTATTGAATCGGATTCGTTCAGCATAGATGGATCAAGTATTGGAAATAAAGGGAAACAATCATCGAACCCATACAATACAAATACCGCAACGCCCACATCTGAAACAAACTCGACGTCGGGGACAGATACTATTGCACAAGAGAATAATATGAAAACTTTGGATGATATCATTGACGATACCATGCCCAGAAAACATTCAATTTTTGACCCTCTGTTGTCCAACAACAAGAGCGGGATGGTTCTTCTGACTGTATGTGGTGGGGGAGAATTCGATGTTGTACGTAATTGGAGTGAGGCTGTTGCCAAGGTATAGAAAATTTCTCTTTTTATTATTACATATGCATAGGTCACTCATTCCGACGTTATTAGCGACTGGAAACAAACGGATTGGTGGCGCAATTACGAAAAGTAATTGAAAACAGTCCATATCATTGTTCCAGCTTGAGCATTCCCGGCTTGCGACATTTTATTTATAAAAGTCGTGTGCATGTCCAGATAACCTATCCCGCATGGGAAGATCATTATCACATCGACACTAACCGGTATAGGTACGGAGCCTTTTTCCTTTTTTTCTTTAGTAATAATCTCCATATAATAAAGGTTGATTACACTGTATCAAAAAATGCATGATACTATGCACGCCAAGTCGGGACAAAAGGACCTCTCAAATTACAGTATATTCGAACTGATAAGGAAGCGGTCCTTGGTTGGGTAAGAACTTTCATTGTGTTCATTATTCCCCCAAGGTGTTTACCAGGAAGGAAATATCAATATCCTTAGGTGACACAACCATTCGAATTATATGTTGCCTTATCCCCAATGATACCCAAAAAAGCAGCGATATCTGCGGCTAATGCCGTGGCTCGTTGGGTAAAACAGGAAGAAAGTCGACTATTTTTGTGGGACGCAGCGGTCTTCTGAAAATCTTTCCTGGCGCATTGTTGTTGCATAATCTATTAGAGGCATTTTTTTAAATTATTATTTCAACCTAGGAATAAAAAAAAACAGGCTTCGTTTTGAAATTTTTATCAATGTCGTCGCGAGCGGATTCGTTTTCCGAATTGTACGGCTGGACCCCAGCTATGAGTCATAAAAGTATTAAGTTTTTACTCATCCAAAAAAAAAATGCAAATAACAAACCCTCGAATCTTCTTTTTGGGTTTTACTTCATGAGCTATGTCACTAAGACCATCGTGAAACCCATTCCGAAATTTGTTTAGTGCCCACAGAATGTACCTATTGAGAAATCCAAGGCTCAGTTCGCCCCGAGTGCAAAGGATTTGCCTGAATCCTCACCGTCGATCTTTCACACTAATACCAGCCGCTTTCATTCCATATCCGCCCATTTTCCAGAGTTGTTCCCAGTTATCGACTTGAAGTTTAGTTTCACATGACCGTCCAATTGCTTTTAGTAAATCTTGCGGTGTCTGAACTGAGTCTGGTCAATAAAGTATATGATTAGTTATGCTATGTTCGTTGCAGCATCAAGAACTAAATGATTCACGTGAAGGGGAAGGAACGGGTTTATAGAATGCGGGTGCATGATAGTATCGACAATGAGAACTTCCGTACAACCTTCCCAGTGTGCCCTTTGGGATGCGGAATAACATAGATACGGACTCGCGGAATTGAGACATACCACCCCAAGAGCCGATGCAGGACTACGCTAGATGAGGTTGACTCTGACGGGAAAAAGCGCCGTTACATCACCACGTTCCCGAATAGTTCAACCTTTCCTCCAAAGATTTTTTTCGCCAAATTCAATATGAAGTAAATGAACCCTCATTTCCCAAAATAAAAAAATAATTTCTTTAACCCATAAATGAATGATTTTAACATTTACGAGTAGAAAAAAAAAATACAGTAAATTCAATCACGTGATTCTGGTCGTTGTGTAAGACTTAAAGTCTTCGTAAGGACTATACAGATGCCCGAGCAACAGGCTAGCCCCTCTTGCTCTCAACTCCAACCACTACCACCTGCATCTGAGAACATTTCAGTTTCGGAACAACAAACTAGTGAGAACATATTTTACTAATCTTTCATGATCTTTTATAACTTTAAAATAGATGAATCCACACGCTCATCCTCTTCCGAATCCGCAAAACGAACTTATCTATCTTTACTGCCTCCACTTCAGCTGATTGACCTAATCTTGGCAGTTGATGTCAATCGCGAAACTACTATCTTTCCATTAGATTTGGATAATGCCATCAGGGCTCTACAGCAACCACGACAGTCAACCCCTTCTGCTTCAGTTGGACCTCCGTCTGAAAAAGATGCTACTACTGGGCCAGTGACGACACTCCATGTCAAAGCAGAACCCGATATTATTGCTGTTCCTCCTCCTCTACCACCTCTGGAACAAACATCCCTACCTGCACCTGCACCCCCTGTTGTAAACCCGGCTGTACCACCACCATATGTTCCCGCCCCCTCCCGACCGTCGTCTCTCCTCCAGTACCCGCTCCTGTTCAACCGCCTCAATACAAGCCTCCACCACATAAACTTCAACCTCAACCTCAACCTCAGCCTGTACCACAGATGTATTCTTATGCACACACACCATATTACGTACCCCCCGCCGTTCCTGTTCCTCCAAAGCCACCTCAAACACCTTCATCTTCATCTCCAGTCCCACCTCCTTCTGCGCCCGTACGACATCCACTATTCACATCTGCTCCTTTAACCCGTGATCCTACGAAATCTTCTGCCACAAAATCAACTCCCCCTCCCACTTTGGTTAGCTCACGCGATGATCCCAACGCTATGCCTAGTTATGAAGAGATGCTCGTGGAGGCTATTATGGACGTTGGCGATGTGGATGGGACAGCACCAAAGGTACTCTTCACATGGATGGCTTCGTAGGTTTCTTTCATGTGTGGAAAGCTATTTATTCTAAGATTTCCATTAGCCACTATCCTTTACAACAAAACTTTCGGCCTTCTGCTTCACAAGCTTTACATAAAGCGTTAAAAAGAGGTCGGCTAGAAAAGATAGGCGGGAAGTATCGACTGAATCCAGCCTGGGGAGGTGGTCCTACAGTAAGATTTTTTAATCGATTTCTTCTCATTTCTAAAAATTAACCTATAAATTCTTAATTGAGCAGACTTCCAAACGTGCTACCAGACGGCCAAC